TCTGATGTTATTTAAAACTAACTTTTAGCGGAACAGAAAATGTAACTTACCACTTCATTTGGGTGTACCAAGAAGAGATAAATTCCTGGATATTTTTCAAAGACCTGAAAGGAGTCATGACTATGTTCCATTCTACAGAGCACTTCTACACAAAGTTCACCTAAAAGGAGAAACACAGTTACAGTAAGAACTCATTTATAAGCTCACATAACAAAAAACAAATTCAACTACTTGATTAAAAAAAAAAAAGGTACTTTGATTTAGCCAATTTTTTTTTTTTTTAAATCTCCTACAATACAAACAGCACCATGCCTTCCAACTATATGCTACAAGATACATACTGACTTTCTCATGCAGCAGCAGATACGGGTATTTCAGTATTTCTAGAAGGGGCACTCGCAGGTTATTCTCAAAATCTGGACCTACGTAACCGGACAGCTGTGTCTCTCCATTCTCATCCACTATAAATAACTCATCATCTTCTCCAGCTTCTTCTTCCATGGATTTTCCTATGTGGGCTATGAGACGGGAGGTTTCCAATTCCCACAAAACCTATTCAGAAAGGGTTAAAAAAAAAAAAAAGTATAACATTTTCTTTTTTAAGGAAAGCAATTAAGTACATTTATTATTATATGCAGAAACCCTGACTCAATTTCCAAAATGTACAATTTCATTTTGAAAAGTTTCTTTCCAAGCATGCTGTGAAAAAGTTTTGACACAGAATTCAGGTTGCATAAATCACAACATTCTCGCGTCAGAAATAAGATTATAAAGTGATTAAAGAAAAAGAGAGTGGCAGTCAAACTTCAAGCTTTTTTGTATCTCTTAAACAGCTTCAATAAATATTTCAGGCCATAGATTACACAAAAAAAATTTGTTCCATTGGCCAACATAAAGAAGCTCACAGTACAAAAAACAGTCATACTCCAAAACAGGGAAACGATGATTTTAAAATATTGTCTTCTCGTGTATTTTGCAATGTATCAGTGGAAAGGTGTAACCAACAAAAGCAGACTGACTGACTTGCTGAATATTTGTACAGGATTCTTCTCGCATAGTATTAGCCATCTAAAGCAAGTGCTCCAATTAGAAATCGAGTTATTTCCTACAATCAATACAAACAAAAAGGCACCATCAGTGGTCCAGTTGCCCCATTTATTTCCAGTCTTTGCTCAGGTGGGATTGCCCTTCAGTGGTATGCATGATTGTGGACTTCAGAGAAATCTAGTTTAATCTGAAGAGCAATTGTTTAGACACCTGCACTACGATTACTTAGCTATGAGCATTCATTTTACAGACGTATATATACACACCCCATACACATGAAAATAAGCTTTCCAAAATATGTAACTTAATGCTAATGAACAGCTTATAATAAAATAAGAATTTTGGAACGTTTTTGATTGTTTTTAAATTAAAGTCTTGCATGCTTGCATGATCACAGCTCTGAAATTCATTGTCGTAACCATGAATGAGAAATGAAAACTAAACTGGAAAAGGAACAAATCTGAAACTGAACAGAAACTGAAAGCAGGAAGAAAGAGAACACCTCACAAGTAGAGCAGTTCGTTTGGCAGCTGGTCTCTTCTTTCAGACCTCAAATCACCACACCATGAAGTTCAAACTGTAATGTCTAGTCAGAAACTCGCCAATACTCTTTTAGTTATTGCTAATTTGAATATATGCAAAACAAGCAGGTCTTTTTTTTGTACTGGGTTACAAGAGAAGCACGGTTAAAATGCAAGATACTGTATTCCCCCAAACTAGTAAGACAACCCCTGCACAAACCTCCTCCGTACACTGATGCCAGGCCACAGAAACCCCTCCTGAAATTCTCCTTCACTTCCAAGTTCTCCTTGCTCAGTCAAGCGCAGGAGTGAAAACACTTAATTACCTCATGCAAGCTTGGCAATTTCTCCCTTGCTTTGTGGTATTCAACCACACACTCCAAGCAGTAACAGAGGTCATCGTTGGATCCTTCAAGATCTTCCGGGGACAGCCGTCCAGAAGCATAGCTCCTCAGGTACTCAGTGGCGTCGGGACCACTCGGCGTACACCATCGACATGTGCTCATTCTTTAGATGGAAAGAAAAAGATCGACAGAAGACTTCAGAGCGAGCAGCCAAGCATTTCCTTTCAGTCACAACAGAACCTCATTTCCAAACGTAACAAGTGATGGAGTGATTCATACAATTCATTACCTATGCACCTGCTTATGCTCTCAACTGCTTTTATATCACACAAGAAAATGCAATTAAACAAAGAAATAGAGACTAAAGCATTACACAAAAGTTGCCATCCTGCCGCATGGCAAACATTATAAACACAGCACTGTGAAGAAGTTGCATTACATAACTTTCAAACTACTGAACAGCAATGCATGAAAATTTGCTTTACGTACCAGAAAGCCCTTGCTCAAGCTTGTGCACTTTCAAGAAGCACAATGCTAAATTTTAATCTGTCGCTTTGCTGATACCTATGAAACCTAGGTCTAATATGTAGCACGTTTAATTGGCTTTTTTCTTAGTCTCCTGCTAAAAATTATAGGTCAACAAATCCCTATTGTCAAAAAGGAAAGGATATTTATGGAGGACTTTCCTATCTTTATTATTATGGTGAGAAAGCATCATAAAATCCTCACAACCTGCATTCTTCAAAAACACAGTTTCTTCACCAAGAAGCACTACAGGAATCCCAGGTCACACCAGTCTAAAAACCTCAATGGAATACCGTAAAAGTATGACCGCTTGGAATGACTGTAAAAACTGAACAGTGGCAACTCACTGGTACTTCACACAACAAGGAATGCAAAAGAGGGATCAAGATAAAGCTGAAAGATGCGTGTCCTCATGCGGAACACACCCAAAGGAAAATAAAACAGCACAAAAAAGCCATGTGGTTGTTTACCTTTGGAAAATGATGGGACTTGCTGTGCAGGTGTTCTCCGGTCACATGATGGAAAAAAACCGCGCTGCCCTGCAGCTAGTGACGGGGGTTGACGCCTTCGGCCATCCGTGTCCCGGGTAACCGTAACAACTCTACTTCGGAGACCTCGAAGGGAACGGTAACCATCAGAAATTGGCTCAGCTCGCTATGGTATAGATGTAATAGCTTTATCCTCGCGTTAAACCAACCCTTTGAGCCGCTGAGCGCCCTCCACGCCTCAGCCGCCCCCCTGAGAGGCGGGCAGGGCGCTGCACCCCCCCCCCCCCCCCGGCTTTGTTCCAGCGGACCCGGGAAACAACAACAGCTGGGACACGGCCCGGAGGGGCAGCGGCGTTCCAGGCAGAACCCCCCGCCTCACAGACACGCCGTAACGGCCGCCCGCCGCAGCACCCGCCCGGCGCGGTCCTGACAGGACCCGGGGGCGGCCTCCCCCCGGCACGGCGCCGCCTGAAGCCCCTCACAGGCCTCAAGGGGGTCCCCAGCGAGCGGTGCCAGAGGCCACGCCGAGCCCGGCTGCAGCTCCCCGGGAGCCGAGCGAGGCTCAGAACCCAGCCCGCGGCGCCACCACGGCCGGTCCGGGCCGCAGCTCCCCGCCCTCACCTCACCTCCGCTCCCCTCAGCCGCCGCCGCCCCCCGCCATCTGCCGCCCGCCGTCGCCGCCACCCCACGGCACTTCCGGGCCGCGGCCGGAAGTGGGCGCTGGGAAACCCGGGCGCGCGGGGTAGGAGCGGGCTGCCCGCGAGGCCCCGCCCCCTTTTCCATAGGCCCCGCCCCCTTCTCCCTCAGCCCTCAGCACCAGGGAAGGCCAGGGGAGGGGTTCCAGGGTCCCCAGCAGCTGCTCAGGGTCTGTAGGATTTTTGCTTCAGCCTCCCCACGCCGCTTCTTCAGGTCTTGGCAGATGGTTGGGTGAAGGCACAGCTCGCTTTGGTCTTCACCTGCAGCTGTGGTGATGCTTCTCAATGCCGAAATGCAGCTGTGGTGCAGCCACAAGGCTGGTAGCCCAACTGTCTCATCACCCCCAGCATCAAGATGTTTGTTTTTTTTTCCTTATTACACAAGGAAAACACTGGCAGTGTTTTTAGAATCACCACTGGTTTTAGGGTGCTTTTTAGCAACCCATGGTGTTTTTTTGACTCAAAGGATGGGGCTCAGGCTGTTGCATAAGTGTCACTACTATTTTCCTTTTGCGGAGTTTTATTTTCTAAATCTCTCCCTGGAGTTACTCAGTTTTTAATACTATTCAGATATGCACGTGAAACCCCTCCCTTTCCCTCCTGTACACCCATGCTCCTTTGTAAGAGGAACACACACAGAAAAGATACTTGCTTATGCTCTCACATGCCAGGAGCCAGGGAATGTGAAATGATCCAGAAACCCTCTCTTCCTTCCATTGTTTATCCCTGCACACAATGGTTATGACCAACAAATTAAGACAACAGCGGTACAGAAGTGTTTCCTGTCTCTTTTCCCAATGCCCACAGGGAGGATGGACACAAGAGTCACCCCAGTGTGCTGTAGGGAGAGGTCTGGTCTTGTTTTTTCCCCCTAAAGCAGCCAGTGTAGCAAAGACCCCAAGTTTACAGTTTTTGCTGGCTTACTCCCTTGTTAAATGCAGCTTCTCTGTGAAAGAATGTATCAGCAAAACCCTTTGTTTAGAAGGTTCCCTTTAAAAACACAGGTGACAAAATCAATCTTGTTATGGAGGTAGAAGTTTGTTTCTGTTGAGATCTACTCTGCAAAATCTGTGACTATACAGCATTTTGTGCTCTAACCTGCAGAAAATTCAGAGGACCTCCAGCTTCCAGGATATTTTTAAAAATAAAGAAAAAAAAACCCAAACTATTTATATTTAAAAACTCAAGTTCTTCAACTTTTAACCTTCAAATGCGTAAGGCAAGCTTAGCAGGAAAACTTAACTTTATAGAAGTGGCTGATCTCATGTGCTTCCTGCCTGTCTCACTCAATCACACCATTTTCTATCTTCAGAGAGACTACAGCCAACCCATGGTTAACACAGAACATTCTCATACAACATCCTTCGCTACACAGTCAAGAAGAACCTCAAACACGGCCTTTATTTCAAAAGCCTTTTGAAATTCTGCATTTTCAGTAACGGTTACTGATGAAGGAAATTCTTATCAAAATGAACAACAAAAAGTACCGTCAGAACCAACTCTTTTCTATTACTTTCTAATGCAGCATATGTGAAATATAAACAAGCCATACAAATACTTTACACAGTAAGATTATTTTACATTCAAGTCAATTTATAAATAGTAATTTTAGGCAAATTAATAAAACATCATACAAAGACAGAAGTACAACCTCCATCTTACCCCTCTATTTTCATATTAAAATGTAAAAAATTCTCCTTGGCACAATAAAAAAATATTTATGTGCATATATATACAGTCTTTTCTCTCTGTACTCCAAATATTAACAAAAACATTTTAAACACATTGTTCTTGTTTGCATGAAATGATAGTACAACTTATGAATATAATTGAGAAAACTCCCTTTTTTCTGAAAGAGTTAAGAAATCTACAACAAAAATAAAAATGAATTGCTTTTAAGAATACTGGTCAAAAAACCCTCAAGGTTGTACTGCTTCAATCAATGCAGATGTCTGAAGTTTTGTTTATGTTAATGATTTAACAGTGCATTGAAAGTCTTCTTTTAAGGGATTTAATTTTTAAGTACTGAAAATCAAATTCTCACACAAAGAGTAAACAGCAGTTTCCAACTCCACAGAAACTTAAGCAATGAGAAAAAAAATAAATATTTTGAAGCTTTTAGAAAAATCTGGTTGCAATAAAAAAAGATTTATAAAATCAAAGCTAAGTTAAGGTAAGAAAAGGTGGCCCAAAAAAAAGTCTTTATCTCAGTCTTCAATATAAAACAGGGGAAGACAACATGCTTTTCTTTGCTTTTTCCATTATTTCATAGCTCATGTACCTGCAGTTGTTGATCTGCACCCACTTTCAAACAGATCCCTTTCACAGTTAAATTTGCAGACTCTTAATTGTTTTTAAGGCTGTCATCACTCTCTTCACTGGAATCAAAAACATCACTGAATCGGAAAACCTTTTTCTGTTGATTGTCTGTTGAATCAGCAGAACTGAGCTGTTTTCCTTTTCTACTTTCTAACTTTTCTTCAAATTCCGGAAGCTTCTCTTCAAAAAGATAATCGATAATTTCTTTGAAAAAAAGAAAAAAAAAAGTTGTCTTAACTGGACCTGCAGGGGAACTGGATGCCATGAGGAAACAGGATCCCACAGGCAGAAATTATTTCATCAGTTCTAACTACAAAGATCTTACTATTCCATGGTAATCATACTGATTGCAGAGTAGACCACACACATAAAAGTACATAAAAAGATACAATGAAAAAGCACAGGCAAAGCTTTTAAAGCCAAGGTACTAAAGAAAAGGGATTGATAAATATTGTACGAAGATACAATTGAAAGTAAAGTGTTACAAATAAAAGCACTTAGGAAAATAAGTATAAAGTATATATTTACAAAGTATAAATAAGTATATACATAAGTGTGTATAAAGTATAAAGTATGTATTTTAGGCAATTTACTTAGGGAGAAAAATTAAGAAAGAAAAGAAAACTCCAAAGTAGAATATGTGTCCTCTTAGATTCTAACAAAAACATTAAGGAGTAGATAAAAACAGCTGTAATACTGACCAGAAAACGTCTTTTTTTGCCATAAAGGAACATAGGAGACTTTCAGCTTGTAAAATCTGGCTCGAACATAGTCTTTAGGAACACCTCTGAAAACAGAATTCAAAAGATTAGTGATGCAACAAACTAGTACAGCCTACTTGTAGCTGAGTTACGATTTCCTGAGAATGACGCCAGTCCAACAATACCTTCGTTTCAGGCAGAAGAGACAGATTGTGCAACCTAATTAAAACAGCTTTTTCAACATAGTAATTCCCCTTAAGGTAAGCACCAAAACCATATCATTACATGCATGTATTATACATTTAGTAAAAAGAAAGAAACAGAGCTGAAAAAATGTGGAAAAAGAAAAAAAGCACTACACAGAAAGTCTAGAATTGGTAATTTCACATTCAGCACTAACTGCCTGGAAGAAGACTATAATACTGTATCACACATTGCAGTAATTATCCCTTCCACTATTCGTTCATTAGCATTTGGAAAAATCCTTTTTCAAAGACTATAGCACAGATTATGTAACAGTTTTAATACATAGACAACTTTGGGAATACAACGAGGGTTGCCTGAAATAGTTAAAATAAAGTTTAAATGTTGCTAGGTATGATTTATCATGCCAGGATATACAGTTGTATAATATCACACTAAATAGTGTTTTTTATGGTTGCAGAGACCTAAGAATGTTGATTCCTTTGGGGATTTTAAGACAGTCTGCTTCAACTATCTTTTCTATTCATTTAAAAAAAAAAAAAGTTTTTACCCAACAATGTCACTGAGTTCTTCCCAGTTTACTTCATCGGCATCCTCCACTTTCATTTCATACAACCTGTGAACGTAACACAGAGGCAGTTTGCAGGCAAAATTCAAGACATAATTTAATAACGTTCACAGCTTCCCTAGTCAAAATTACAGGATTTTTTGTCCAAAAAATGTGATTGCAAGCCTGTCTGAAACTGCAGGTATACTGTTCACAACCAGCACACTTTTATAAACACAGCTTGGAACAGTAAGAGATACAAAAACATTTCAGCAACTCTGAACTGTACCTTTTAATAAGATTGATCTTGGCCTGTAGTCCTCTGGTCCCCCTATATAACTGCTGCCCTTTGGTTATCTTGTTTGTTACAATCGAAGTCCTTTGAAAACACACAAAAAAGGCTGCTGTCATTTCACGAAATCCCAAGCATCAAAAGGAAGCAACTTCAAGGTGCCTTTGTTACAGCAACGATGCAGCAGCTATCAGGCTTCATGATCACAGCGTACAGAAAACTCACTACAGCTGGCATGGAGTTATTTGTTTCAGACATATTTGCAATACCTCTTTTGTAGTCTACAACCTATTACCTATCCTGCCAAACAAACATCAAGTTTGAAACTGTTCTTCAGAAAGAAGTGAAATCTGTTGGGGAGAGTACTTAACTATCTCTATTTAGTATAAAACCTTACCATTTCTGTTTACATTGTCTCCAATACCTAGTTCCCACTTTAGCTTCAATTTCATTCCATGGCAATTTCTGGAGAAGTTTCTCACGTTCTATCAAGAAATTTCTACGTGACTTTTCAGATGATGAAACAGATTTTGCATCTTCTGACTCCATTCCTTTTAGAAACACCTCCTCCACTGCACGCATTAACTTCTGGGTCTCTTCCTTTGACCAGGGACCATAATTAATTGCTAAAATGGAAAAATATTCACAGTTAAGGTAAAATTCATCATAAATTACTAAGAAAAAAAAAAGCAAAACCGCGAATGCTTCACTTTGCCTTATTTTTATTTACAGGATCAGTTTCTTACATGCTCCCTGGACACTCTTCTGCATACCAGATTTGAAAGGGAAATTCACTCTAATGATAGGAGTTCAGCCTAAATAATAGCACAAGCTCCTAGTTTCTATCTTAAGACCTAGCTCTCAAACTCCTCTCACTCTTCCCACAAAAGCTTCTGTTTAGACAGCAGAAGTGTCGGTTCCATTTAAAAAAGAATTGCATTAATCCCATGTCCTATTCTCCAGACCCCACCCTTTTTTTTTTTTCCTAGTTGGAGACTGTTCTTATCCTTTGTCTGAAATCACAAACAACGGTTTACAAAAAAGGAACCACCACCAACAACCAGTTAAAGAACAAGCAAACAAACTCACTCCAGCGATTTTTCAAGAGTTTCTCTAATACACAGACTTAATTGCTTTTCTTAACAATTACATACGGGACTTAATTTCAGAGTATTTCATAGCAACTGAGAGGTTAGAACGGGACATCATCTCAGAAATCTTCTTCCAATCATTGCCATGGAGAGCATGATACTTCTTTAGTTTTTCTTTTTCTTCTTTGGTATACCTGGTAGAAAAAATAGGCACTGCCTCAGACACAAATTCAAACCCCTGCAATGCCTTAAGAAAGCTGTACTCTTCACAGATGTTTCAATGTTACTCATGACTACAATTTCAATTTATATATCAGAGATTTACAAGAACTAGTCAGAAAAATAAACTGCCAATTAAGTCACAGGAACTAGCACAAACCCAAAAAATTATTTTCATTTGAACACTAAATATGGATACAAACACCAGAGAATTATATTAACCTTCTCTTAAACTCCTTCAAATTACTGGCTTACCTCCCTTTATAATTATTCGAGTCAAACATCTTCCTTGCTCGGTAATATATCAGCCGCCAGGCTCGTGGTATGCCCTCAGCTAGAAGGAAAATGATTCAATTTTAAGAGACATTTTTTACACTGGTGAGGCCACTTAAAAAAAAAAAAAGATTTTTCATAATTGTGTTATAAATGATAAATTCTCTCCATTCAAGATAAAGCACTCTACAACTCAGGAACTGCACAGGAAAGTCTGGATAGGATCTCCTGAAGACTTGCAGGGAGATAATTTCTATGACCATGGTAAGATCGTGAACACTGGCAGCTGGTAAATAATTCTGTGTACCTTTGTGCACGAATATCCAAAACTGAACCTCTGAACTCTGAAACACAAACCTACTACTCTATAGCTACAGTTTGCACGGACTGGGTGTAGGCTGTTTGTTTGGTGTTGTGTTTGTTTGTTTGTTTTTTTAATAACATTTGGATTAAGTGCAAGTAATGTACCGAATGCTCCCAGCAATAAAGACATAAGACAGCCAGCAATTAGGAGGCTGACGACATATCGTGCTCTTGCATGCAGAGTATTTCAGTTAGGAAAAGCACAGAATGGAGGCATCCAGTGAAAAGAAAGCAAAGATCTTGGCTGAAGAAAAGATCCTTGAAGTGGGGGAGTTTCCAGAACAGAAATGACCTCACCGATGGGAAGGGAACCATGCAAACATGACAATGCAAGTGGAATGACTGAGCATGTAAAACTCAAAGAGAATCAAGTCTGCAGCCTCCCTGGATGTTAAATACGTATCCAAACCCATTACAGGTTGTCACTCACTGTCTTGACTGTAATAACAGTAAAGAACCAACACCAATTGGAGAGCCACTAAGCAGCTTCATCGCAGATGTTACAAGATGAACATATTTCTTTTATGAAGCAAGGAAGTCTTCTAACCAAGAGAGAAGTCTAACAAGTAAAATGAGGAAGGAGGAAGACTGTACCTCCCACAAACAGGATCTTAGTAGCTGCAATTTTATTTGCTTCCCTAGCATTTTGGAAAACTAACTACTTCAGATCATGACCTAATTCCTTCCAGTTTATGCCATCACTGGGTCTTGAATCTGCACTCTATTTATGAGCTCAAGGAACAGTTAAATTAAAGACAATATTTAATCATGCCTGCCATTAATAAATCACTGAACTTAGTTACGGCCTAGCAAATAATGAACCTTAAGCCATAAAATTCAAATGCAAGTGTAAGATTTCATTGTGACCAGCAGCACTTACAGGCTTTTTAATCTCTAACATTTTCATGACCTAGAACAAAAAATAACAGTATACTGTAGAGATTATCAACTACATAACCTCAGCAGCATGTTCCTTTTTTCTGCCAGCTTTACCAACATTTGTGCTCTTCAATTAAAAAACATTTGTGAATATAGTGGTATCAGCAGTTTGTGGAATGTAAGGTTCATCTATTTGAAACGGGACTTTATGCTTACCAAGTTTTTCACAGAAGAGATGTCGTGCTTTTAGGCGATTGATAGTGTGTTTCTCTTCTGGATACCTTGAAGTAAACAGGAGCTTTTCAGCACTGTCTATTCCAGTCAGTGCCATGAACTCTTCAATGTTTTTCCTGATTTGTTCGTTTTCCTTCTGGGAAAATCTGCCAAACTTGATAGGAATACCTAAAATATACAGAAAGTATTATTAAAAAATTATCTTTTATCTTTCACACATTACATTTCAGGTTTACAGAGATGTTTTAGTAAATGTATAATGGAAGATCAACAGATGCAAAAGGTAAAAAGGCAAATAAAGAGAAACTAAACAAGATCTGGGAGCAGGTAACCTACGCATGTACTTTGGACTATAATTTGATGATGAGGTTGTAGATGCTACAAAACAGAAACCACGCTAACTGCAATTAAATATATTACAACAAAAGCCTACTAGAAAAATGCATGTTTTACGTATACAAGCCTGTCACTAAATAAATTCATGAACTGTTGCTGAATTGAAATTAATTGAGCTTGGATGTGACAAGACACAAAAGCAAGCTGCTTCCGCTCTGTCAAAACATTAGCACAGCTCCACACTTCCTCCTCCCTGCAGCATTCTTTGGGGGTCTCACCTTGTTTTTTAAACTCTTTAAATCTCATTAGATCTCTTCCAGCCATCTTCCTGATTGAATCTTCTGATATTTGCCTCACGTGAGGAATAAACTCCTCCAATTCTTGTTTTGCAGCATCTAAATCGAATAATGAAAATGATACAGAGTCCAGAGACTCATCGCCATCCAGGCTGACATCGCCAGAAGTTACGGTTTCAGTACACGTACTACTCCGGGCCTTCTTTGACACTTTGGGTTTTGGTGTCCTGATTAAAAAATAATTTTAAAAAGTAAACTAAAATACAAAAATAGAGCTTTAAAAACAGGGGTTTTGATCGTATCTCTACATGTTGAGCATCTACATGAACATGTTCGCTAATTAAATAACAAGGAATACTTCCCACATCCATGCACCCCAGCCCAGCATAAGCCTTTAAACACATGTGAAATTTGGGATTTCAGTATTCACAGTATTCAAAGTTTCTGAAGTCTAGAAAACCCCAGCTTTCCCAAGAACTCTCACACATGGATATGCAGAAGAAACGCTGTCCCTCACTACCCCAGTGGCAACACAGAACTTTTCCTTCTTTTTCTTATTAGCGAGAGCTAAAGGACACTTTTAACATCATTTTTTATTTTTAACTGTCAGCTTCAGTCCATTAAGCTTGAAAATGGATTAACTTCACGTTCTGGCTCTGATCCTACACCATATGATAGCATACCGACTAGTGGAGAGACTCATCTAGTTTTTACTTGGACAGAAACAATGCTTATAACTGAAATACTCAAGCATATTTAAAAAAAAAAAAAGAAAAAACTTCTATTACTCACAGTACTTAAAACCGTGGGTTCTAGACACTGTAAAAGTACCAACTGCTATTTACACAAGCATTTGCACAGACCTTTATATTCTTTAGTTGATCTCTGTGGGGTTTTTTTTTGGTAAAAATGCACAATATAAAGACCAAACTTAACAACTGGAATCTATTCCCCCTTCCTTCCCACACCCCCCTTTTTTTTTTTTTGCACATAATTTATTTCCATACCTACATTTTTTAAACAGAAGGAATCTTATTTATTCTCACTCAATGCAAATAAACTTACACAGTACATTCATAAAATAACTAAGCTCTAAAAGTAGGTCTGTAATATCTTAACATTTAGGATTTTTAAGCTGTTTTTAAAAATACATATAAAACAAACTGAAAAAGAATCTGGGACTCAAATTATGTGATATGAACAGTGGGGTAGAAAAAAATCTAAACTTACGTTGTGTCAGAGTCTGAAGAGCTTTCATCTGTGATATAAGCTTTGCTTTTAATCTTTATGGGCCTTGCTGGAGTTCTTGTGGAAGACTGATTAGTCTTTCCAGTAGGTTTTGAAGAATTAGCGGGTGCATTCACAGAAGCTTCACACGCAGCAGGAGAAGCATCACAGTCACCATCTTCATGGCATGGCTTGGACACTGCCACACCCCCCTCTCCTCTGGGTGATGGCAACACCGTGTCCTCCTCTTGCCTATTTTGTTCTGGAGATGGCAAAAGTGACTGGTCAACAGATACAGCTGCGTCCTCTTGCGTATCTTCGGTAATACTGGCTCTTCTTTTCTTCTTCTTTTTCTTCTTCTTCTTCGCTGGTTTTTCATCATCACTCCTATCTTGTATCTCTGAGGTAGGCTGCTCGCTTACTTCATCCTCTTCTGGATGTTTTTTTTTTTTTTTCTTCTTAGCAGACTTTTTTATATAAATGTAATCAGCTTCATCCTCCTGACAACTGCCAATGCAATGCTGATTTACTGAGATGCAAGTTACGTCACTTTGGCCATCTGTGCTATCATCATGTTTATGCTTCTTTTTTTTCTTTTTCTTTTTGGGAACATCCATCACAGCTTCATCAATAACTTCAGGTTCCAGGACTACATGAGATTCAGCTAATGAAAGCTGTTCCTCCTCCTCCTCTCTTTCTTTCTTTTTCTTTTTCTTCTTCTTTTTCTTTTTATAGACTTCACTGCCCTGTGCTGCTTCATCTTCAAAAAGCTCTGCATCTTGTATAGTTTCTTTTTCATCATCTTCCTGTCTTGTGTCGCGTTCTTTGCGTTTTTTCTTTTTCTTCTTGAGATGCTCCCGAACTTGAAAATCCTCTGCACTTGCTTCTTCTGTCATATTTTTTCTTACCTTAAAGAAAATATGAGTTTACTCAAGCACCGTAATATAAGCACCTTTATATACTATTGAACAGTAAAAAAAAAGTTACTAGAAAACTACTGTAAAACAATTCAGTATTAACTTAGAAACATATAACAAAGATACTTGCTTTTCAACACAGCAAATTGTGCGAAGTGACCGGACCGAAACGATGCCCTCTTCATCAAACAGATGTGCATCACAGCTGTATTCAGCTTTAAAAACGCCTTCCTGGAACAACAGAGACACACTTCAATAACTATTAACGTTGAGCTACAATAACTACACGGTAATAGGCTGAAGTATTCAATTCTTCTTCCAGCCTTGAAATAGCGACAAGTTAAAAATAATAAAGCATTAAACCCAGCAGTGCTGCAACCCAGCTCTGGTGGCAGAATCACAGCACCAGCAGCTTCTGACCGGGCTGTGACCCAGCGCCGGCTCTGCCTGTGCTCGAGCCGCTCCACGCCGAGCCCGCACCGACCCCTTGACGGGAACCAACCCCGAAAACTCCAATTACTCAGCGCGGGCAGGCATGTTTTAGCACGTTTTAGGACATTTTTCGCCACCAGCACGCGCAGACCCCCCCACAAAGCCTCCTCCAGCCCCAGCACGGCCCCGCCACCTCCCCACGACCCCCCCCCCTCCACGTTCCCTCCTCAGCGGGGCCTCGCCCCGCTCCACCACAGCCCCACCACCGCCCTCAGCCTCCCGGGAGGGGGGCACCGGGAAGGGAAAGACCCCCCCAAAAACACCCCCGAGACCCCCCTGAGGACCCCCTTGAGACCCCCTCAGAGCCCCCTCACGCCCCCCTGCAGCCCCTTAAATACCCCCTGAAGGCCCCCGAGGCCCCTCAGCGCCTCCCGCCGGGCCTCAGCGCCCCACGCGGCCCCACCGCGTCCTCCCCTCAGCGGCTCCCCCCCGGCCCCCGCTCCCCGCCCGCTTCGTTCCCGTTGCCGGAAGCGTCCCCGGCCGGAGCCGCCCCGGCGCGGACCGCGGCGGTTGCTAGGAGACGGGGCCGCCGCCGCTCCGGTTCCCCCCCCCCCGAATCCGCCCCTCAGGGCGGGTGGCGGCCTCTTTTTTATTATTTTTCTGACTCTTTTCCCCTTTTTTTGTTGCCTTTGGACGCGCCCTCGGTCCGCGAGAGTCTGGTTGACCGCGAACGGCGGCGGAATTCGTTCTCCGCTATGGCGGGAGGAGGAGGAGGAGGAGGAGGAGGCGGAGGGGGGGGGCCCCCGCGGAGGCCGCTGTGCTTGGCTGAGGTGGAGGCGGGCAGCGACAACGAGAGGCTGGGGGTGGCCCGGGACAGCATGCTGCGCAACCCCCGCATCCTCAAGGTGAGCCCCGGGACCCCCCCGGCACGGGCACGGGACCCCCAGGGGCTGATCCCGGGCCCGGGCCCTGCCCCCATCTCCTCCCTGCACCGGTACCCCCCCGGGCCCGGTCCTGATCCCGGCTCCCCCCTGCCCTGGTCCTGGTCCCGAGCCCTACCCCGATCCGCCCCCCACCCTGGTACCCCCCCCGGTCTCTGCTCCCCTCTGCTCTGGTCCCGGTCCCGGTCCCTGCCCTGATCCCCTCCCTGCACCAGAACCCCCCCGGTCCCGGTCCTGGTCCCGATCCCACCCCCGCCCTGATCCCGGTCCCGATTCCGGCTCCCCCCTGCCCTGGTCCCGGTCCTGATCCCAGTCCCGGTCCCAATCCCTCCCCCCCACACTCCCTGCTCCTGGTCCCGGTCCCAGCCCCGGGGATCGCAGCCCCCAGCCCGGAGCCACCTCCCCTGCTCAGAGCCGGCTGCAGCTCAGCTCCTGGCCCCTGGGTGGCAGCAGCCGAAAAGCTTCCACCGCTCCCGGCAGCTGCTGCACCCCCCTCGCCGGGCTGGGGCCGTGTTCTCAGGGCTGGGGGGCTCCGGGGTTGGGGAGGTTTAAGGGGGTCCCGGCCGCTGCCTCTTCTCCTTGGGAGGGCAGCCGCTTCTGCTCAAAAACGCCTGGCTTAGGGGTTTTTTGGGGGGGGGGGGGGTTTCTTACCCCCTCATGGGACAGCGGTGACATTTAAGCTGCTGCTGCCCAGCCTGCGCTGTGGCTGTCTTGAGCTCCCATGGTTATCGCACACACACACTCGGTACTGTCAGGCCTGGAAGTCAGCTGTAAAACTGTGGAATAGCACAGAAAACGGGAGTCCTGCAACACTTGCTATCTGCTCTTTCTCGTGAAACTTAAGAACTTAATTTGGAAATGATGGTAGGAGGGCAAAGAAAACAAGTGAGTTCTGTGCTATGACTCAAAAGTGATTATCATCATGATTAATCCAAAGCTTCTACGTGGTTTATTCCCTCTGGATCCTGTAAATTTGACCGGGAGTGACTAACTTTGGTTAAAGTGAAATTAGGGCAGTATTTCCTTGCCTAGCTACCTGCCCCAGAAGGATGTGGCAGACCCAGGTGTGAGCAAGGCACCCAAACTCATTTTGTGCTTGCGGTGATGTCCCTGGGGATGGAAGCAGCTCCTCTGGTGGCTGGGGAAGGAGAGGAGGCAGCGCAGCACACTCTCAATCACTCCCAACCATCTCTGCCTTTCCTAGAAAAACAGGCTACTAAATACATTTTTAGGTAATACATAAATATAAATCAGAGGCGTATATACTTATATGATATTTAAGGTAAGTTAAGGCATAATTGCAAGGGCTGATCCTGCTTGTCACAATGCATTCACATTCCTGAAGCTGAAATATGTACAACCACCAGTCAGCACTGTAAAATTCTAGGTCTAAGAATTTATAACTGGGGTAATGCTGCTAAGAGTGGCTCTTCTTCTGTAGTGCATACAGGGCAGGTAAATTGTATGCAGTCGTGAAGATTATGTCAGTTTGGGAGAGATTTGTCCACCTGGACTGGAGCACTCAGCCAAGCGCTGCCTGTCCGTAGAGTTCACTGTTGCCTCCTCCCCTTGTTTGCAGCATTTTGCCCAACCCTAGCTCTAGGGCTTGAGTTCTTGTCCTGCACAACTGTTGCAGAGCACCTTGGCTATGAGATTGCTGAGCAGTTATAAACCATGGGATGTTTTAAAAAGATTCAAACAGGATTTCAGCTATCTAGCCAGGTGAAATTAAAACTGGACCTAGTTTTGGAGAAAAGTTGTAATAAGTTTTAGCATTCTGGACAACTTCTCTCAGAGCTTCCTTGCAAGAGAGTTTCCTTCACAGTAAGCCAGCTGGTAAGGATGTACAGAGATCTGCAGGCACCCGTTGCAATCCTCCCTCATGCATGAAGTAACTGGGCTGCTAACAGCGACACTTCTACACTTGGAATCTGCAGTAATTCCACATGACAGTAAATTACAAAAAGCGCAGGCAGCAAATTCTGCTGCGATGGGATGGCAGCTGTGGCAGATGCACTGGTGGTACATGCTCACAGCACCAGCCCTCTGCCACGTCTCCTCTTCGTGCTTCCAGCTGCAGGCCTGGATCCCTTTTTCCTCCAGGGGAGCCCTGCAGACTCGGCATTTTGCAAACAGCTGCCCAAAGGGTTGGCCAGCACGTCCCAACCCTCACGCTGTGTGCTGCCACCTGAAAACCAAAGACACAAAGATGGTGTAAAGGAGGGGACAAAAGCTTTTGAGACAACTGCTGCTTGGATGAGTGCTTCTAATAGCCAAGGGAGGGCCCTGAAGAATGCCCAGCCAGCATTGAGGTTCACCAAGCTGCAAATACAGAAGAACCTGAGGCCCAGGAGTCACGGATAGGATGCTTGCTCCCCAGCCTTCTTGCAACCAGCATTCAGTCCCTGACACCCTCGGTGCTCCGAGCAGTGAGCACAGGCAGTGGAAATGTGACAGTCCTCCTACTTTGCAGCAGCTAACTACAGGATCCCCATCCTTCTCTCCAGTTCTCTCACATATCCTCCAAATGAGGCTCCACGTACCCAAACAGAGGCTGTGGCACAGCCGACTGGCCGTGTTTCTGTCTGACCCTCCTGACGCAGCGCTGCACAGCCCATCCTCCTCCAGGACGTGTCCACACACAGCAGCTATCTCAGCACAAACACAGCATCTTTTCACATACAGCCTTCTAAGAAATGGAGACCGTATTATCCTCTCGTAGAATATAGAGTAGCTTTTCGTTGGTCAAGGAATTAGTTTAGTTTAGCAACGTATGTTTTCGTGCAGCATAAAGCTGAGGGAAGTATTTCATCTAGTAGTGCCAGTAAAAATCTGAGCAAAGCACTTTTGGGTTCTTTGTTTTTACCGGTGAAAGCCTTAGCAAAGCACTTTTCTCAGTAAAAACTTACTGAAAACCACTCTGTGGTACAAAAATAATTCAGCTCTGGGCAGGAAACAAGACTTCACTACGCTTAACACCCAGCAGAACATAATTAACCTCGACAGGGCTGCCAAAGTCATTGCATCGCCAGCCTGTAACAGGCCGTACCCCCGGTACGTGGAGGTAAATGTGAAATCACAGCTGCGGGACCAGCCATCAAAGCATGCTCTTACCTGCTCAGGTGTGTCCAGGGGGCATGCAGGGAGCAGGGGCTGGGAGCTGAAACAGCTTCAGAGCCGAGTAACACCCAGCTTGCATTCAGAAGCCTAAACTGAGTCTCAGAAGAAGAAAAAGACGAGCTGCTTCAGAATCAGCAGTTCCAAGGAGGAGGAAAGGGGCTTTGGATGCTAAGAAAGGCTGGCACCTGTGAGAAGGGCCAGGCTGTGGCCAGGAGGGCTCAGTCCCACTCATCCGCGCTGCAAGAGAACCCGATTTAACAAACAGAACAAAATATTTGTTTTAAAAGCTTGTTATTTACATAACAACTGCTGCCAGGCTCATTTTATTGGTCTAAATGCCAGACTATTTAGGGTTCATTTTCCTAAGCTTTTCTCTTCAGTCCTAAGGGCTGGAAATTGGGTACCAAGTAAAGGCAGAAATCACTCACCACATTTTACCTTTTCCTTTAATGCCCGTTGAACCTTATCATGAAATATTTGTCAGCCATCGGACTTCTTACAGAGCAAGGCACTGCTGAGAGTTGTTGCAAACTCATTTTGTTTTCTGGAGACATTCATAGAAAGGACAGCTAAGAAAAGGAACTGGTGGCATTTTATCAAACTAAAATTGTGTCACGTCATGAAAAAAAAAAAAGCTCTACTGATGTGAGAGACAACCATGGACAGGTGCGGGGTATGAAAAAGGATATTTACTTCAAGTTGCAAACCGCCACTATCAAAAACATCTCTTGCAACAGTAATTATTGAAAGGGCAGGTTTTCCATCACTCCGGAGCTGAAGCTTTTATTAATAGACCTGCATTGTGGCAGTAACAGGGCTTTTATGTGCCTGAATGTTGTGCTCAATCTTTGAGCCTTTAACCTTCACCTTACTCTTTTTTTTTTTTTAAGCCTTCTCTCCCAGTCCATGCATCTTCTTAAGCTCTCCCCACACAGACGTACGATGAGGCAAGGTGAACCTGTGCTGCTGCTCCTAACTCATCAAGCCCCGATGTGCCACTCACCTCTGTCATCCTCGTCCCCCTTTGCGCAAGGACGGCTAACCTGTGCAGGAAGAGGAGTTGATAAAATGAAGGCTTCCCTAAAAATACACCCACAGCTGGATGCTCAGAGCTGTACGAGCTGGCAGAAACCATGCAGGTGCACTGTCTGCAGGTGGGACTGACAGAAAGCAAAATCATTCCCTCTCCCCAGAAACACCGAGATGGCACAGGTCCCCACAACCTCCTCTGTCCCCACGGTGTGCCCCTGCTCTGCCCAGCCGATCCAGGGCTTCAGGCAGCAGCAGAGACCCCGAAGCTGCAGCAGGGCTGGTCGAGAGCAGCCAGGGAGAGCCTCAGACATGGCAAACACCGACAGCATCACCACCCAGCAAAGCAGCTTCTGCAGGCATTCAGAGAACTTCTCTCAGGTGTTGGCTTTGTTGCTTTAAATAACCATTCT